AGTCAGACTAATATCTTACTTTGGTGAAAAGAAGATCAAAATATACAACCAGAAGAAGACAACAAAGTCAAAGCTCCTACATCCAAAGCCTCCAAGAAAAATATGAATCAGTCCCAGGCCTTGGAAGAGCTCAAAAGGGATTTTGAGAAGCAAGTAAGGGAAGTAGAGGAAAAACTGGGAAGAGAAATGAGAGTGATGCAAGAAAATCATGAAAAACAAGTCAACAGCTTGCTAAAGGAGACCCAAAAAAATACTGAAGAAAATAACACCTTAAAAAATAGCCTAACCCAAATGGCAAAAGAGGTCCAAAAAGCCAATGAGGAGAAAAATGCCCTACAAAGCAAAATTGGCCAAATGGAAAAGGAAGTCCAAAAGATTACTGAAGAAAATACTTCCTTAAAAATTAGAATAGAGCAATTGGAAGCTAGTGACTTTATGAGAAATCAAGACACTGTAAAACAAATCCAAAAGAATGAAAAATTAGAAAACAATGTGAAATATCTCATTGGAAAAACAACTGACCTGGAAAATAGATCCAGGAGAGAGAATTTAAAAATTATTGGACTATCTGAAAGCCATGATCAAAAAAAGAGCCTAGACATCATCTTTCAAGAAATTATCAAGGAAAACTGCCCTGATAGAGTAGAACCAGAGGGCAAAATAGAAATTGAAAGAATCCATAGATCTCCTCCTGAAAGAGATCTCCAAAGGAAACTCCTAGGAATATTATAGCCAAATTCCAGAGTTCCTAGGTCAAAGAGAAAAATATTACAAGCTGCCAGAAGGAAACAATTCAAGTACTGTGGAAACACAATTAGGATAACACAAGATTTAGCAGCTTCTGCATTAAAGGACCGCAGGGCATGGAATATAATATTCTAGAGGGCAAAGGAGATAGGATTACAACCAAGAATCACCTACCCAGCAAAACTGAGTATAATCCTTCAGGGGAAAAAATGGTCATTCAGTGAAATAGAGGACTTTCAAGTATTCCTGATGAAAAGACCAGAGCTGAATAGAAAATTTGACTTTCAAATACAGGACTCCTGTGGAACATGAAGAGGTAAACAGGAAAGAGAAATCATAAGAGACTTATTAAGGCTGAACTGTTTACATTCCTGCATGGAAAGATGATATTTATAACTCATGAGACCTTTGTCAGTATTAGGGTAGTTGAAGGAAAAAAATTATGTGTATGTATATATAGATAGATAGATAGATAGAGGGCACAGGGTGAGTTGAAGATTATGGGATAGAGGGCACAGGGTGAGTTGAAGATTATGGGGTCATATCTGGAGAATAAAATTAAGGAATGAGAGAGGATGATACTCGGAGAAGAAAAAGAGAGAGGTAGAATGGGGTAAATTATCTCACAAAAAAAAAAAACAGAAAAGAAAAGGCTCTTGCAGTAGAGGGGAAACAGGGAAGGTGAGAGGAAAGGAGTGAATCTTATTCTCATAGGATTTGGCTTAAGGAAGGAGTAACATACACATTCAATTGGGTATGGAAATCTGTCTTACCCTACAGGAAAATAGGGGGAGAAGGGGACAAGAGAGCAGGGGGATGATATTGAGAGGATGGCAGATTGGGAAAGGGAGTAATCAGAAGTAAATACTTCTGAGGAGGGACAGGGTCAAAAGAAAGAATAGAATAAATGGGAGGGCAGGATACGATTAAGGGAAATAGAGTTAGTTTTTCACAACATGTCTACTATGGAAGTGTTTCCCATGACTGCACATGTATAACCTATATTGAGTTGTTTGCCTTTTCAGTGAGGGTGGATGGGGAGGGAGGAAGAGAGAAGATTTGAAACCTAAAGTTTTAAAAACATATGTTTAAAAAAATGTTTTCACATGCTACTGGGAAATAAGAAATACAGGAGATGGGGTATAGAAGTCTATCCTGCCCTACAGGAAAACAGAAGGGGAAGGGGTAAGAGAAGGGGGGAGAGATAGAAGAGAGGACAAACTAGGGGAAGGGATATTCAGAATGCATGCCATCTTGGGGTGGAGGGAGGGGTGAGATGGGGTGAAAATTTGGAACTCAAAAACTTGTGGAAGTAAATGTTGAAAACTACAAATAAATAAATTTATGTTTTTAAAAAATTGAAAAAAAAAAGACTATATGATTTCCAAAATTCAGCCTACTCTCCTATTCTTCCTCTTCTATTCTGGGTCTGCTTCATTATCCATCCACAGTGCCTGTCAGATGTGGATGTGCTGATGGACCAACTCTATAGGCTGTCAATCCATTTAACTACATATCATAGTCTATACAATGGACAACCTTCATCCACTTATTTTTTTCTTGCGATTGACTACAAATATTCCAGAATGAGATGTAATCTGCACGATGTAATTCACAAACATGAGCACCTGGAGGGCCTCACCATCATAGGGAATCCCATTTCAAATTGGACACCTTCCGTGACAGTGGCATATTGTGTTGGCAAGTTAACTAACTCAAGTAAACACTCAAGGTTATTATTATTATTTTTTGCATGTAAGTCACATTTGTGCTAGCTCTAAAATGTTAAACACTATATGATTAAAAAGAAGATCTAAATAGAAGCAATAATTTGTTCCATTCTATAGTATTTTTGTTTCCCTCTTTGTAAAACCATTTTTTCTTTGTATATTTTTAGTTTGATAAATCAGTGATTTCTTAGTGACATCATAAGTACTCCTAGCTCTTGTAATTGGTTTAAATTAATTGACAACAAAAAGGATTGATAATGAGGTAGAAAAGAACAAGTTCTCATTTTGTTAGTCAGCTTCGTGTCCATGGACTAAACCAAAATATATTTCTGTTGATTTCATAAGGTCAAGGAAACTTAATGTAATTTCATTCTCTACTGATAGGTGGAATTTCCCATATTTTCTAAAATGTCTACTTGCCAAATATAGCCATTCTTAATGTTACCTGCAATACCCAGAGAAGCACATGTTTTTAATTTTAAAATTGATGCCTTTCCTTTTTAGATCACCTTTGTTTCCAGATCTATCTTTGCTTCCTTTCCTCCCCATTGAGCCATTCTGTGTAATAAAGATTTTTTTAAAAAGGGGAGGAGGGGGAGAAAAAATGAGGAGTTCAAAAAAACTGACCAGTCATGTCTGATGGTCTAGGAAACATTTCACATGCATAGACCCTCACCTCTGCAAAGAAGACAGGAAAGCACCTTCTCATATCTCTTCTCTGGGGCCAGGCTTGGTCATTTCAATTACACAGTATTTAGTTTTATTATTTTTTTGTCCTTTCTCTTTTGCTTCATAGAATCGTAAATCTAGAGCTGGGAAAGACACCAGGGACCACCTACTCAAATCTCTTCATTTTACATTTGAGGAAACTGAGGCACAAGGGGATTTAGCAAGTTACTGAAGGTCATATTGATAGTAAGAGTCAGAAGGTAAGATCTGAACCCACTTGCTCTGACTTTTTTAAAACTTATTTATTTATTTTCCGTTTTCAACATTCACTTCCATAAGCTTTTGAATTTTAAATTTCTCCCCCACCCTCTCTTCCTTCCCCCCCAAGATGGTATGGAATATGCTATAGGCTCTACATATACATTCCCGTTGAACATATTTTCACATTAGTCATGTTGTAAAGAATTAGAACCAATAAGAGGAACCACAAGATAGAAGAAATGAAACAAAACAGAAGTATGTTTCTATCTGCATTCAGACTCCATAATTCTTTCTCTGGATGTGGGTAGAATTTCCCATATGAGCCTTTTGGAGATGTCTTAGATCCTTGCATTGCTGAGAAGAGCTAAGTCTGTCAAAGTCTATCATCCCATAATATGACTGTTACTGTGTACAGCGTTCTGGTTCTGCTCACTTCACTCAGCATCAGTCCATACAAGTTTTTCCAGGTTTTTCTGAGGTCTGCCTGCTCATCATTTCTTATAGCACAATAGTACTCTGTTACATCCATATACCACAACTTGTTCAGCCATTCCCCAACTGATGGGCATCCCCTCAATTTCCAATTCTTGGCCACCACAAAAAAAGCTGATATTTTTGTACAGTTGGGTCCTTTTTCCCATTTTTATGATCTCTTTTGGATACAGCCCTAGAAGTGCTCTTGCTGGGTTAAAGGGTATGCCCATTTTGATAGCCCTTTGGGCATAGTTCTAAATTGGTCTCCAAGATGGCTGGATCAGTTCACAACTCCGCCAACAATGCATGAGTGTTCCACTTTTCTCACATCTTCTCCAACATTTATCATTGTCCTGTTTTGTCATGTTGGCCAATCCGATAGGTGTGATATGGTTCCTCAGAATTGTTTTGATTTGCATGTCTCTAATCAATAGTAGTTGAGAGCATTTTTTCATGCGACTATAGATGCCTTTAGTGTTTTCATCTAAAAACTGCCTGTTCATATTCTTTGACCATTTATCAACTGGGGAATTGTTCAGACTTCTAATTCAGGGCTCTTGCCACTGTACCAGACTCCCATTGCTTTGCCATTATGTATGTTATTTTTTCAGTTTCTGCTCACTTTGCATCATCTCATATATGCCTTCCCATGCTTCTCTAAGTTCTTCACACCCATTATTTCTTATGGCAGATGAATGTTCTATTTCATTCGCATACCACATTTTTTTAGCCATCCCCCAAATCAATGACTATCTAAATTTGTTTCCATTTCTTTGCTACCACAGAAAATGTTGCAATGGATAAACTAGCAAATGAGAACCTCATAGAGATGATAGACAAACCCAAAAAGTAGTTCTTTGAAAAGAGTAACACAGAGGGCAGCTAGGTGGTGCAGTGGATAGAGCACCAGCCCTGAAGTCAGGAGGACCTAAGTTCAAATGTGACCTCAGACCAAACACTTGACACTTACTAGCTGTGTGACCCTGGGCAAGTCACTTAACCCCAATTGCCTAAAAAAAAAAGTAACACAGTTGATAAACTTTGAGAGGGACAGAGAGAATGGTTATCAAGTTACCACAGCCCATTATTTTCAGTTAGATCCAGAGTGTACCACCTCACCTCATCAACTATCTTCTGGATTTCTGGAGTTGCAGATTTAGTTTCACTTAAGCCTCCAGGCATCATTTTGGTGGTGGCTGGTTTGCAGAAAGAGATGCTGGAACTGAAATGATGAAATGATAAGGTCAGTCATCCTGACTCCAGTTTTAAAGGGAGGCAGGCTCTCCTCACATGCAATGAGTGCAAGGGTATGTCATAATAAAGCATTGCCTTCTTGGCTGTAGATAAGACTCATTGCTCACCTGTTACCACGCGTTAATGCATGAACGTAAATGTAAAGTATTGTCATATAATATGTTGTCATATAATAAGGTAATTAAATGCCCCTTTTTAAAGTGGGCAAGGAGAAGCACCCCTCCATTCTCTGAGTAAATGGTTCAGTCCAGGGAGGACTTCTCAAAAGCACTAATTAAAGAAAAGGGGAGTGTCTACTTTATGTTGAAAGGTAATAGTCCCAAATTTCCAAATACTTTTTTTTTCAGTTATACTTGTTAATTTTTAATAATGATTAATTCTCACTCCCTTCTCCAAGGAATAGGTGGAGACTTTGGCCATAAAATGCCAATATTCTATAAATTTATGGAGGAAATGCCTTTATTCTATAGCCTTTTTGATGAGTTTTATTGCCTAGTATTTAAATGTGCTTACCAAGCAGAGCTGGTATTTCAACTTATGTGAAACTATGGGGAAATCCCTCTAGGGCAGGGATTGTACTCAGATTTTTGGATCTCTCTTGCAGCACCCAGCATAGTGTCTAGCATGTAGCAGTAGCTTGATAGACTTTGAATCTATCATTCAGTAATTTGAATCAATCAATCAATAGACATTTATTAATCACCTACTATGTGCCAGACATTGTGCTAGGGACTGAGGATACAAGGAAAAAGATGTATTAGTTCCTTCTTTCAAAAAGATAAATGGATGAAAGATAAGGGGAGATAAGTACATATATTAGCATGTTGAGAATAAATATAAAGAGAATAAATTCAAATAAAACCAAAGTAGTTAAACACAAAGTAGCTTGGTTAGAGGGCACCAGAAATTTGGGAGATCTGGAAAGACTTCTGGAAAGATGAGTCAGGAGGACCAAGGTTCAAGTCCAGCTTCTGACACATACTGGCTGTGTGACTCTGGGCAAGTTACCTAAGGAGCCAATGCCCTATCAACAGAAATAAGAAAAAAAGGAAAAGGAGTAAGTTTTGGAGGAAAAGAGAAATACGATTTTGGAAATGTTGAGCTTGAACTTCCAGAGGAATGTCCAAAAAGTAATGTCTAGTCAGCTATTGAAAATGCTAGATTAGGGTGGCTCAGTGGATAGAGCTCTGACCTTGGAGTCAGGAGAGAACCTGACTTCAAATTCAACCTCAGACACTTGACACTCACTAGCTGTGTGACCCAGGGTAAGTCACCTAACCCCAACTGCCTAAGCAAAAAATAAAAATAAAGAATGGATTGCATAAAAAGAAAATGCTAGATTAGAGTTTAGGATTGGAGGTTAGAGATAGAAATACATGAGTCATCAGGTTTTTTTTTTAATTAAAATGTACTTATTTATTTTAATCATTCAAAATTTACCTTTTTAATCTTCTCCCTCTCCCCAATTGAAAATGCAAGAAAAAAATCATTACAACCTTTAATAGGAAGTCACAAGAAATTTACACATTTGAAATGTCCAAAAAAATTTTCTTCATTCTGTACTCTGAGTGCTTCACCTCTTTATCAGGAACTAGGTAGCATGTTTCATCCATGGGTAATTGTGAATCATCTACATACTCATCAAATTGAAACTGTTGGATTGGGTGAAATTGCCAAGGGAGAATATTTAATGAGAAGCGAAGAGGGCCAAAGATAGAATCTTAGGGAATAACTGCATTTAATGGGTAAGAGAGAAAGAAGATCACAGGAAGTCCTTTTTCCTCTTATCCCTCTGAAAATGATACTCAATAAAATCCATTGGATCTTGTTTGACTTAAAAATTGATTTTGGTTTAAATCACATAATGCAAAAGACTTAAAGACTTCTTTGGAAATGTCTTATTCTCGTTGAGCCTATATAAGGGGTGTTCAGAAAATGTAATTTTGATGAATCTGGAAGAATCTTGTCATGCTGTTTTGATCAATCAACAGATAGTAATTAAAAATTTACTATGTGCCTTTCCCTATATTAAACCATTTGGGTGGGTGGGTAGAAAAATAAAAATATAAGACATGATCCATGTTCTCAAGAACTTTGTTGTTTGTCCTTCATTTTTAAAGAAGACCAATGACAATGACACACGTGATGTCTTAACTCATGTGTGAATTGCATTTAAGTGAGGTAGAGCTGCTCCAAGTCATCAGCCTCACTCTCTCTTCCAGAGTCTTTGAAGACCAGTGGCAGGACAAAAGTCAGGACAATTGTGATGGCCCAGGATGAAATGGTGATCTTGGTGTCTTCAGTGTCTGACCAAACTTTAAGCTCTCCACAGCACCTGCTTCAGCCATTTTTATGGCTGTTGGAACAAATTGTTCTCATCCACCCACTCTGCCAGGGAAAGTCTTCACATGCCTGAGGTAGCCATCTTCCTATCTCACTGATGGGTTTGAGGCCTAACCTTATTTGACCCATCTGCCCAGATGGTTTTGCCAGGGTGTGGCCACTGCCCAAGCTACAGCTTCTTGGAGCCATAGATGAGAGTTGGCTTACAGGTGGACCCCAAAGGTGGATGAGCAGCTCTGGAAAGGGCTGAGCAAGCCCTCACACTAGAGGTGCTAGTCTTCCCTTAATAAGAAGCTTACAGTCAAATTGACATCATCATCTCACTAAACCTGTACAGGTCCATCAATCAGCATTTAAGGAGCAACAACATCTTGTATTCTTGGTTGTAAGGAGAAAACAGAGACATATTCATATAGGTCACTTAACAGATTTATTACCTCGCAACAAAATTATTAATTAGGCAGGTAAATTAATGCAATTTTGGATTGTAGGATTTTTCTTTACGTTGAAAAGAATTGATCCAGTTCACTTATCCTTTTTACTTTCAATATTTGGTGACTAAATGCCTCATTTGCAGATGAGCAATTCTGAAGTAAATCAGTATCTACCCAGATCTAGGGAGGGAAAATTTACCAAACATTTACCCACCCAAAATTTACATATTCAAATGAGGTTTATTTCAGGATATACTTGAGACCAACCTAAGCCTCAGGAGAAAAAGGTGGGGTAGGAATGCCATTAATCTTCAAGACTGTATCCTGTCCAGTTCATTGAAGACAGATTGGGGAAGGGGACTTCTTACCAAGATGACTTCCACACATTCATGTTTTGTCCAGGAAGGTTTCCCTCTCTGATGCATGCTGGTCAGTCTGTTTTCTTCCTTTCTCAGGATTTTTTGGACAGTGATTGTATGGGGAAGTAAAGTGTGGTCAGTTACTTTCTTTCTCAAACACCCAGGGATCTTGGAGAATTGTAATCATAATAATAGCTATCATTGATATAACACCTACTGATGGGGTTGGGATCTGGGCCCCAGAAAGGAAAGGCCCTGGACTTTCCCACATGGCTTATAGCCTGAGGCTATAATCCCATCAACTGGCCTTTTATTGTGGCTATGATGGGGTAAGCTCAGAGATCTCTCCCCCGCCTTATCCCAAAGGGAATCTGGCTCCCATTTGTCTACAGCTCCTTATTTCCCTTTGGAAGCCTTAGCCTACACCTTTTGACCTTACTAAGATGCCTTCCAGCTCCCTCCATTACAGGCCCCATAAAACACTTAAACTTTCAGGTTTCTTATTGACTTCCCTTATCTCCCTTTGACAAATGCCTTCCTGTTCTCCCCATTACCTATTCCCATTGTTTATTCAGACCTCCCCAATTAGAATCCTTACCTAGACACTTTTCCCAGCCCCCTCCTCTGGCCACCCAAAGTGATTTTATTGTATTTAAGATCAACCCTGGCCCCCAATCAGAGGCTGAGAATCTCTCATGCCTCAAAGGCTGAGCTTTTCTCATGCCAGATAGTCCTTACAGGAGTCACCTGGCCTGTGCGATTTATCACTAATAAACTTTTCCTCTGTCTGGAAGAAGATTTGAGTTGAATTCATTCAGGCAGGGTCCGGTACAGCGATCTTGGGGTTCCCGACAGAACCCCAAAAGTCCTAGATCTCTTCAGCTACAGCCAATCCACCCCCCCCATTGTCTTGCCCACCCTTGGTAATTCTACTGAATGGGATGTCCCAGTGAAGACTTCTCAGTGTAATTAAGGTAATGAGTTCAGAAGGTAGTGTGAGAAATGAACTCTCAGAAGTGAAGGCTCCTCAAAGGGTCAAATAATTCTTAATTATTACTTTCAAAATCCTCCCCCACTCAAACCCTGTTTTTAATCACTTAACAGAAAGAAGAAGCCCTGCCCCACCCCCAACCTGAGCCATTTGCCCTTGGCTTCCGGCCTCTTTCCTTGTCTTTGAATTTCTCGCCTGGAATGTAAGCCCACCCCCAGTTAAGGGGGTAAGGGATAGTGGTGGGTGGAGACTTGTTTTCGTGGTGGGTGGAGATTTGCTTTTATAAGGTGGCCCCTGTTACTCGGTCTCTCTTTCTCCACGTGTATCAAAGGAGCAGACAGCCATTGTGGGAGATTGTAATAAAGGTAACCTTTGCTTTCCACTTTGAGAAGTCTCTGAGTTTAATTTGGGTTAGGGTTGCTGTCCCACACACTATTACCTCATGGACTACTTGGCCACTCCTGGATTCCTCCCACAGTCTGTGTATAAGGTCCATCTTGTCTCTATTAAGATGCGTAGATTCTTATACTCTAGCCATGGTTCAGATTCCTAAAATCTAGCCATGGCTGAGATTCCTAAAATCTATCCATTGCTTAGATTCTTAAGATCAAGCCACTGCTGAGATTCTTGTAATCTAGCCATTGCTTAGATTCTTATAATCTAGCCACTGCTTACTCATGTTCAGACTCCTTAAGAATCTGCCAAATATGACAATGTTCTAATAAACCTTGTCTTTGGCTGGAAGAAGGCTTGGGTCAAAGTCTTTCGGGCAGGACCTGCAAGTTGTGATTTTGGGGTCCCAGC